ATTTAACTTATCATTTATCTTTTTTTGGGAAATCTTAAACACATTTGCTTTTTCGAATTTCGATCACCTTTTTCATGCTAATACCCCACCGTGCGGCGGTTTCTTAGCGGTAAACTTACAATAAGTCGATCGTCTCAATTAGAAGTTCTCACACGAAGGTTCCTGGACGTCTAGACTGACGTCCTCATAGACGTGATCATAATTCAAAAACCACTCGGTATACACTACGGTATTAAGGTATGTGTAAAAATATATTTGACTCACCCTGTACATCTATAAAAATATTTTTTAAATGTGAACTAAATGTGAATTAAACATATATTTTGTAAAAGGTTTGGAGTGAAAATCTCCAATAGGAATCCTGATACAGGGTTTTTTCGGAACACAGAGCCATCTTGTATGTATGAATTTGTATATGTGTGTTTATTTAAATATTAAAGTGAAAGCAACGAATTTAGATGGGTAAACTTTGAATATGTCTTATTAACAATACAAGGCAAAAGGTTTTATAAAAATTCGTTCACAGTAAATTAATTCCGAGGTTTGTATCCCATAAGGGCTTAAAGCACTCCCACTACTACTTTAAAAATAAACTTAATACTAATATTAGAATATCCCTAGACGGTTACTTAAACCAAGTCTAAATATATTTCTGTCTTTATTGAGCTAATGATATCTCAATTGGTTCGTAATCTTTATAGTTATTTAAGTGGTGTTTATAAACAAAGATATTAAACTGTAAACTGCAATTGAGAAAATAAATAATTCTTATTTGAAATGGAAACATTAAAAGTTTTATGATCTCCGCTTTTTAATACTTGAAAAATTATTGAAAAGTGCAATTATAAACTTATGTTTTTATAATTAGGTCACATAATACGAACTTTTTCAATTAAAACGTATGTTTTAATAATTTTTGATAAAATGTTTCATTTGCCATTTCTACATTAAAAATATTTTGCACATTTTAGAATCAGAAGATATCAATCAAATTTAGATACCTAGTAGAATTTTATTTTTTTGTGTATTCATTGAAGAAATCAACAACACAAAAATTAACATTAACATAAATTTGTTAACCAAATTAAAGAACTAAATACAGCCAGCAATAAAGTAGGTTAAAATGAATTATAAGCAAAATCTAAAGTAATGTACAGGGTGGGTCAAATTCGACGCTTTTAAATGGAAACACCCTTTTCTATAGGAGATAGGCGAAAACTAATATCGGTGTCTGGAGCTCAATTTTCATCAAAAACATGATGGTGAAAACCGTACATCAATATCTGTTACCGTTTCGGAGTTACGGGGTGTTTTTCAAAAATGCACACTTTTAACAGATCGCTATAACTTTCTTGATATGGAAAATTTTGTATTTCTATAAAAACATTTCCAAAGCACCTTTTTACGTAGAATTTAATGGTTTAAGTATAATTTTTCGAAAATTAATAACTTAAACAATCAACAGAAAAATTGATTTTTTTATTTGGGACACGCCCTATATTTTTAATTAACTGAAAAGAATTTAAAATTACCTTTTCAAAAATATAGCACACTTGGTGAAATAGCAGTGACCCAACCTGAGCCGATTCCAAATGACTTCCTCACTTCTGGACAGTGACCGAGCTACAGAAACTTGAAAGAATTGACGTTTACATTCATAATATAGCTTATTATATAGGTTATTTGAATCTCCGGTCACTTCTCACTCTGCCTGGATACCACTTTTTATTGTGGACATATGTAGAAATTTTAGTTCGGAGATAGAAAATGCAAGTGGTATAAAATCTCTATCATTTGCCGCAGTCTTAGCAATCTTATCAGAATCTTCATTACCTCGTATACTCACATGTTAGTATAGAGAATATCAAAATAAATAATACGTTTTTGTAGAATACATACCTGCAGCTTGCTGAACCATTTTCAATCAAAACAATAATATAAACGTAAAAAGAGCACAAGAACAACAACAATTTATAATTTTAAACATAAAATTTAGCCATTTACCTCTTATCTGTGAGAAGTAACAACTTTAACGTTTCGTTGAAACAAATGAATGCAACTAAACACACCCATGGCAACGTCGTTCATGGCAGACATGATTTAACTTATCATTTATCTTTTTTTGGGAAATCTTAAACACATTTGCTTTTTCGAATTTCGATCACCTTTTTCATGCTAATACCCCACCGTGCGTCCGTGTATATTATATTATCTGGAGATAGATCTTGAATAAAAACGAACGGGGCGCGTCCAATACAAAAGTAAAGTGTTTAGGTGTGTTGTGGTAAATTAGTGTTTTATTTTGCTGTTTTAGTACCAAAGCTTCCAATTATTGGCAAAAAATATTATTGGCGATTATCTTATATTGATTCAACTGTAGTCCCAACTGAGAACTTACTTCAAGACCAAATGAAACGAACCTTTACATTAGAAAATATTATTTAAAAAAAATGGAGATGGATGAATTCTGTCCTTTTTTCCACTATTCTGGCACCGGTACTTTCTACTCCTTCACTTTCTCTTCCTTTGTTGCATAACTGGGTAATTTTGTTAAATTCGCAATATTATTAATCAAAAAATGAGATTTATTGCTGTCCCTGAGTTATAAATACTCAAAAAAGAATAAAATTAAATCTAAATCCAGATATGCTTGCCACCCTTTAATAGTTTTTTAATGTAATAACACAGCTTTAAAAAAATAAATATATTTCAAATATGATGTAAGGATAACGGCGTAAGGTTGCTATGAGCTAGGCGTTAACATAATATGCATTTAGCCTTTAAAACGCCATACTCGTATCATCCATAAATTTAATGTCGATCTTTTTTTCTTTAGCTTATCTGATTTTAATTTAAAGTGTGAGAACTCGCAGTGACTTTAGAGTAGGTTCGTGATTTTTTGCATGCTAATTATTAGATGAGATCTTATCACAATTATTGTGGCAATAAACACCGATAAAAAGGAGATCAATACCCAATTAAGAGTTAAACGGCCAATCTACGTGAATGATACTTAAGCGGCCTTAAAAACTAAATTTATTACAGAGGATTATTCTATTACTGTAATGAATAATCGTTAAAAGTGCTTTATTTCTTACAGATTTCTCATTATTATCTGAAAGCTCATTAGAAAATAAGTCCATGGTTTTCTTCAAAATAATTTAAGATGGCAATATAGAACTATACTTGAACTATTTAATTTTTTTATCTGTAATTAAATAAAGGTTCGTTAATTTTTTGAAATTATTCTAATTAAAATAGAAAAACACACAGTTTGACCATATACTACAAATTTTATAACGATATTGATGCACATAAAATTCTCTAGTTACCATATTTTTTTCCATCGTCAGCAGATTATTAGAACTATTTCGTAAAATCATCTGCTAATGGTATATACAGGGTGGTCCGAACTGTACTCCGGAAACTTCGGCAGCTTCTGTATATATAATAAGTTAAAAAATTCGTATAAATGTATGTCCTAAAATGCTTAGTTTCGTAGATACAGAGTGCAGAAGTTTCATTTTTATTTCGATTTTTTCCAAATAATTTCTGAAATAACGTCAATATTTGGATGAAAATTGGTGTGAATTTTTTTGATATGACAAATTTGATTTTGATGTCGATATGACTCCTATTTGTAGTGGGCGCAACCTACATGTGTTTTAACTATTTTGACGAGTAATAACTTTTCGTCCGTACCTGTATAAAACTACTGAGTAAAAAAGATACACTCTAGAATGAAATTTAAAATATAATTTGTTTTTGAGCGAATAGAGAAACAGAGCGATCTCAGATATACGAATTAGAGGCTTTTTTCGAGAACAAAAATTTGAAAATTTAAAATGTTTTAAACATTTTTTGGATTTCTTTTTTTTAGTTTCTAGTTAAATAACATATTTTTTTGATAATATGACAACATAGACAGTAGATTAAATTTACAAGAAAGGAAACCCGGAAAAGGTCCAGTGGTTCTCAAAATTTTACCAAAAACATTTTATAGATCATACAATCTACTAAATTTTATAAATTATAACTTCACCTTAGATATAATGAAAATAATAAAAATAGCCCTTTGAAAATAATAAAAATAGCATGGAAATGACGTTTCAGATTGGTTACAGCTACACGTTGAATTTTGACATCGTTAAAATTCCTCATTATCTTGTTAAACGTTAAATAAACTACAAAAATAAAACTATATTTTAAAAAAATTGGCGCCGGGAGACGGGGGACAGGTATAGCCGCCCATACTAAAATATGATAATAAAAAGTTGGTAGGCAGTTCTTTTAGTTTCAAAGTAAAAGAATTTTTCCAAGTTTGGTCCGCAGTTATTTCCCGTATCGGCCACCTGGGGTCGCGTCCGATGGGAGTTTGGAGTTCTCCACACGGATTTTCTCAAAAACGGACTACGGAAACACGGAATATCTCAAAAACTGCGACTTTGATTTTGATGTTATTACAAATTTTGTTGCAAATATTATTCCTAATCTTAAAATGAAAACCGGGTTTCGTTAGCTACTGTAATTTCGTAGTTACGATTTTTTTTTAATTTTTAACCCCCTCCCATACCCCCCTGCCAACCCCCCACATCCACCTAAAACTAATGGCGAGATTCTCGGGTGCCACAGTATTTTTGTGCCAAATTTGATTAAAATCGGTTTAGCGGTTTTTGAGTTATCATGTTACAGACGGACAGACAGACACCATGAAAATAGGTCATTTATGACCCAAATAACTCATTTTGAGTGAAATTAAAAAAACTTTTTTTTGCCGATCTTAATAGCCTACCATACCTGTTGGTATGGTCGGCTAAAAATAAATCTTCTTTGACATCAAGTAAATCAAAAGCTACTATCTCTGTCGCTCTTATAAACTTAAGGTATACACATAAAAAAATCCCTATTTGAAATACTCTTCCAGCATCTGTTGGGACGTCGCGTCGCTTTATTCAATCACACACTACACGCTTTAACGAACAATTGTTTCGTTGTTTCAGACGGGTTACATAAGGTCTTCCGATGCCAATTACTACATCGAGCCTGCCGAAAATTTTACCACCGGTTCTTTGGGAACCATCCTGCATCGCATCAAGAAACTGACACATGCCGCCGATGAAAGCAATGACATTCCCATTTTGGAGCCGTCGTTTGATGTCGTCTTCAAAAACGATAACGGTGAGTAAATGCCTTTGTTAAGAATTACAAATTAAGTAGAATTTTTACATGTTTTTATTCAAATATTAAGCAGATATTATCAAAAGCATCTATTGACAGGATGATTTTGATGATTTTTTGAGCAATTTGTAGCTAAATTATTTGACTTTTTAGTATCTCTTTCTAAATTAAAAATGAAAGTAGCCGTCTCAATTATGTCAATTATGCGAGAAAAACAAAATGTTGATATTTTGGTTAATGTTGGAAACACCCTGTGGAGTACGTTAACAAAGCAAGGAATTTAAAAATCACTTTATCATCTAAGTAATATATCTTTCCTCGATAGTTTGTTTTTTGATTCATCTAAATAGCTTTATTTTTTAGAGATATTCGTCTTTGAAGGAGACACTACATTTTTTCGAATTTTTTACTTTAAAGCCACGACTTTGCTTGTGGTCTTAAATTAACTATTGTACTTTAAATGAAATTAAAACTTGATACAAAAAGTTATACAGGACGCATGGTTACATTTATACGTACATTTACATGATTTGATCTGACTAATTCTTTATTATTTGATAAAATCTAGGTGGCTGGTTATATGTCTGACATTACTTCAACATAGCTGTCAAATTAGTCCAACTTTAACAACTAGTTATCATTTGGTGTCAGTTAAAACAAAAAAAAATTGAGTAAACCAAACCAAACCAAACTTATCCTACATCAGTGAGAATTGATATGATTTTTTGATATTATTATTATTTTTGATATTATTATTGATATGATTTTGAGTAAACCAAACCAAACCAAACTTATCCTACATCAGAGAGAATTGATATGATTCTATCCGTTGGTGGAATGCAGTGTGCATATACTCGTACCAATTAATAGAATATGTTTTTTTTATGGGGATGGTTTTTATTGGAATATGGTTTGTTTATGGGGATATGTTAAAGACAGTGTTTACAAAACTCGATCAACAATATTGTCGACAACATGAGAGAAATTATTGTAGCTGCTTTTCGAGGTAGAACTCCACATATGTCTTTTAAAATGAAAAGATCCTTTTGAAAAGACAATCATTTTATGCAGTTAATAGGAAAGGAAGAATTTGAAGCATTTGATTTCATCTAGCTAATTTTTGTCACATAATTATAGCTTTATATCTAGTTTTAATTCTATAATAATTAAAATATATTTGAAATGTGAATCTTTTTATTACCGTTAGTATTTTACTCTATAATCTTTAATTTTTGTTAAATTAACAAAAGGTATATCACACAGCCACTGTAGATTTTTTCAAATAATAAAAATCTACTGAGGCAAAATCATAAAAATGAAAATATCTAGAAAAATCTTTGTCTGAAGAGTAGGCAACCTTATTAATATTTTGAAGATATATAGATTTCCCATTGAATACCGGAAAAATATACTGAGTGTTCCATTTAAAATAAAGGAGTAACTGCTTTTAAAAGTGACTAATGTTCCATATTAATTTTGACTCACCCTGTATAACTTTTCGGGTCAAATTTCAATTTGGTTTAACATAGAATGGTTACTGTAATTAAATATCAGGCTATACAAGGTCAACTAAAATTTAGGTAGCTGTTATCGAAATTTAAAATTTACTCTTCATTTTCACAAAATGTGAAATATGTCAAAATCCTTATACGCTTCTTTAATAAAACTCACCTTTGATGAAACACACTTTGAAAAACACAACTTTGATGTGTAACTTTTTTTGGGGACACCCTATATAATTCTATAGTTTTTTATAAAATGCTTTCAGTTAACCTACATAGGCTACCAAAATTTCATTTCGATATAAACTACCGTTCTCCTTAGAACTTCCGCGGCGTATGAGAGGCGCCACCCTGTATAACAATATATGCGTTAATATTTTGAAAAGTAATTTAAAAAAATTTAGTTTAGGTATCACGAGGGGTGTCTCACTGTTGGAATTACATGTACATTTTATTGACAGTCACTGGCAGTCATTAGCATCAGTCGACTATAATAAAATTATAAGACAGACACTTTGCCACTAAGGCTAATCTAGACGGGGCATCTAATAGACGAGGAATCTAATATAGACGGGGCATACTTTGTTTACTCGGAATCCGAACTGCGGTCCTCGGCCATATCATTGTCAATGGCTTATCGACTTGGCGAGTGTTTAAATCGATTCTTACTCACCAGATATCCAATCTCGTGAATGAGTAGTGTGTGTCAGTAGATTTTACACTCTTGCCATGGAACAAGAGCACGACAGAGTTTCCAGACGGTCACCCGTCCATCTACTCTCATTGCCTAACGTCTCTTAACTTCGGTGATCTATCAGGAATCAGGAACTGGTGTTCCAACGTAACTGGGCTGTTGCCTCTCTTTTTAACAATTTTATTAACAATTATTTACAATCAGTCGTTTTTTATTTTCTTTATAAAGAATCATTACTTTCAATGATGATTACTAGAATAAATAGAAAACCAAATAGTAAAAAAACAAATAGTACAACTGATGAAACTACAGACTATATTTGTAAACGAACGGTTGCGGTAGTCATTGTTCACAAAGTAATCTAAGTACTCAAACATAGAAAATAATGTAATATTTACCTGTCATTATTTAAATACATGTGTCTATTTAATTTAGTCAAATAAACCAAGCAAGATATTATATGAATGGAAAGGAAGTCATTAGTAGACGTGTTTTATGTATTTAGAAATCTAAGTAGGAAAATGAGTTTACGTAAGTAGTTAAAGAAGAGGTGTTTACTTTTTACAATATTAAACAATGACCAACTTCAAGCTTTGAAAAAGAATGCGTGTATAAACAAGTATAAATATGCAGGTAAAGATAATTAAGTATTGCAATATAAAAGGGTGGTATAATTTTCACCGCGAGTATACTAAATGGTAATTTCTTTGTTCTACCAACGTTAATATATTTTTAGCACCGGTGTTTTAATAGTGTACTTCCTTCAGCCTTATCTTATTAACAAATAAAATACAATTTCAACAGTTATAATTTAAGAGTTATTTCTATGCGCATAATTTATTAGGCACAGTTATGTTAAAACACAGTATCCAATCTATGACACTGGCTTATTCAATTTTGCCACTATAGCTAACTCGAGCATTATCTGGTTGCTGACCGCAGTTTAGAATGCTCATAAACCAGGAGGTCCAGTCCGAATTAGATCTACCAGCAAACAGCAGACGTTTATTTAAATAAAACATTTATGTTATGTTTGTACTGCAAATTACTGCAAAAATTATGTCAAACCGCGTATAGAAAAAATCCTTCCGGAATCGCAAACGGGTTTTTGCATCAAAACCACGGCTTAGGGCAACGGCCCAGCTATATATACGTCGAAACACTGGTTCCCATTAGAACACCGAAGTTAAGCGACATAAGGCGATACTAGTGGATGAACGGGTGACCGGTTCGAAACTCTGTATCGTGCTGTTGTCCAATAAAGGCAAAAGTGAAAAATCTATTGACACACACTACTCATTCACGCCGGTTCGAGGGCGGATGAGATCGGATATCTCGTGAGTAAGAGTTGATTTAGACACTTGCCAAGTCGGTGGGCCATTGACCATGATATGGCCGAGGACCGCGGTTCCGATTCCGCGTAAACAAAGTAGGCCCCGTCCAGATTAGCTCTTATAAAAGGAGACGTTAACTGAAATCTTTACTTTACTTTAAAACCACGGCTCCATCGATTCCATATTTTTCGTCTACTAAGTACAGCGAAAAGTAAAAGAGCAGCAATGTAAACTTTATGTTACATTCATCGACCTAACAAAAGCCTTCGACTCTGTGAATAAAGATGCACTTTAGGCAATTATGAGTACCCAACAAATTTCTTACAGTATGTAAAAGCCTCCATAACTACAACAAGTGAATAAGAATGTCATAATATACTAATATCAATCATGGATTACTGAGCGATCCCTTCTTAACAAATACACGTGTTAGGCAGGTATGTGTTATACGCTCTCCATTATAGTGTACAGCAAACTTCAGGAAAGGGGAATGGGCATTAGATACAGACATGACTGCGGTCTGTTCAAAATAAAATTACTAAGGGCAAAAACACGTACAAAATTCATCACAAAACTTTATTACACTGATGACTACGCTCTAGTTGCAAAAACGTTACAGCATTTACAAGAAATGTTAAACATATATACCTGGGCATACGATGCTTTGAGCCTTAAGCTGAACATCGATAAAACTAAAGTCATGTGCACTCCCCCGGAATATCACAACAATGCTATAAAAATCGGAGAAGAACTATTGGAATATGTAGCGGAATTAATTTACCTCGGCGTCGACAGTTTGATTTCGGAAAAGGCAAATATCGACTCCGAAATTCAGCACCGCCTCAAGGGCATTCTGGAAATTAAAAGACAGGGTTTTCTACAATCATGACTTGAGCGCAAAAACGAAACTTCCAATGTACCGAGCAATAGTAATCTCCACCATGTTATATGGAAGCGAAACCCTGGGTGCCGTACCGCCAACACATGAACACATTAAACAAGTTGCAACAGAGACACCTTAGACAACTCTTAAGAATCAAATAGTTCCACCATGTCTCAAACTTATCGGTCCTTGTAAAAGCTAGCTGCGAGAGCGTTGAAGTCATGATTATGAAATCCCGGTTAAGATGGGCTAGTCACGTATGTAGAATGCAAGAAAACCGCCTATCAAAATCTTTTCTTTACGGTAAGCTTGTAGACGGTAAGAGGAAACCGGGTGGACAACTCAAAAGGTACAAGGATAGTTTCCACGAAAACTTAAAGGGGATAAGCATGCAGAATAAAACACAAAGGAGAAGAATTGTAAGCTCAGTTAACCCTGATAACCAAAAAGTAAGGAGGTTTTTGACGCAATGAGATTTTTGAATGTCCGGAGTGCGGAAGAGAGATAACATCACGTATCGGGGCTTTTCAATCACAGAAAAGCGGATGAAAGAAAACGCGTTGCGTAGTCATCTTCTGATGCGTGTC